CTTTAAGTGTTCACAGTCTTGTAGCCTGTTAGAAGTTTCTGGGTGAGCCAGGCCAGGACAGAGAAGAGACAACTGAAATTTGGGTGGTATAAATATCTGCTGATGCTAAGAATTCACTTAATACTCATCAACTTTAAAGTAGTTTGGAAACTTTTCCCTTTAACACAGTGAAATAGCTAAATAGCCATAAAGGTAAAGTAAGAAGGGGGTTGGGGAGAATGGGTTGAGAGAGTTGTTACTTTCTCTCATCTGTAGAAGGGATGTTGAGGATGACAGATCTGTCACACTCCCAAACCTGGGATGTCCTTACAGGCAGTTGTTAAGCATCCAGAAAAAAAAAATTTACAAACTATAAAGGGCTGTACAGAAGTGATTCATTATTATTGAGAATAGAGCCAGAGTGCACCTCTGCCAGCTCAACCCCAAGTGATCCGTCCTTTATTTTGCCAAATGCCCTTGCAGGGCGTATTGAGTCAGAGGATGCTCTGTCGAGAGCCTTGCTCCTCTGTCACCTCCAGGGAGAGTTGGCTTTGCTGCCTGATGGCTACTCTGAAGCATCTTCTGTAAAGTCCTGGGTCCTGGCAGGGTGCAGTGGCTCACGCCTGTAATTCTAGTACTTGGAGAAGCCAAGGCAGGCAGATTACCTGAGGTTAGGAGTTCAAGACCATCCTGGCCAACATGGCGAAACCCCATCTCTACTAAAAATACAAAAATTAGCTGGGCATGGTGGTGCATGCCTGTAATCCCAGCTACTCAGGAGGCTGAGGCAGGAGAATCGCTTGAACCCAGGAGGCAGAGGTTACAGTGAGCCGAGATCACACCAGTGCACTCCAACGTGGGCGACAGAGTGAGACTCCATCTCAAAAATAATAAATAAATAAATAAAGTCCTGGGTCCTTAGCCCCTCCTAGTCCCTTTCCTGAGCCTGTGGGCAGGTGTCAGACCTCATTCTACTGAGCTAGAAACCAGGTTTCTGAAGAGATAAAAGAGAACTGATAACCTGAGGCTCGTTTACACATCTTAAAAGCAAACTTAAAATAATCAAGGGGTAGAAATAAAATAGTTATTAACAAGGCAGTGCAAATGTTCACTTCGGTATCAGGACAGAGCTATGAGGCGATGCACGGAGTTGTTACTTAGCTTTCATCACCTGCCAGCTCATGGCAGTGGTCCAAGGAGCTTGAGGGAAAACTGCTGATAAATGAGGTAGACTCATGCCTCTGTTTCCACTGACAGCCTGGTATTATCATGGCACACTTCTGAAAAATTGTTTGAAAAATTATGGGGTAGCCAGGCGCGGTGGCTGATGCCTGTAATCCCAGCACTTTGGGAGGCTGAGGTGGGCGGATCCAACATAGGGAAACCCCGTCTCTACTAAAACTACAAAAATTAGTCGGGCGTGGTGGCTCATGCCTGTAATCCCAGCTACTCGGGAGGCTGAGGCAGGAAAATCGCTTAAACTCGTGAGGCAGAGATTGCAGTGAGCTGAGATCATACGATTGCACTCCAGCCCAGGCCACAAGAGTGAAATGCCATCTAGAAAAAAAAAAGAAGAAAGAAAAATTGGGGGTTGGAGGGAATATCAAACAAATGTTGCTTTTTTCCACTTGCACAGAACTTGCAAATAGCCCTAATTGACATTTTTTCATAAACCATATTTTTACAATGAATACCTAAACCTTATGGGAATATCATTCTGGACAATAATAGTAATAACAGTGAACTCTCACTGAGTGTTTCCTGTGTACTAGGCATGGTTCTAAGTCAGGGGTGTCCAGTCTTTGGCCTCCCTGGACCACACTGGAAGAAGAACTGTCTTGGGGCACACATAACATACACTAACACTGATGATAGCCAATGAGCTAAAAATAATGCTTTAAGAAACTATGAATTTGTGTTGGGCCGCATTCAAAGCTGTCCTGGGCCATAAGTGGCCCATGAGCCACGGGTTGGACAAGCTTGTTCTAAGTCCTTTAAATATATTAGACTGGGCACAGTGACTCACACCTGTAATCTTAGCATTTTGGGAGGCCACAGTGGGTGGATGGCTTGAGCCCAGGAGTTCAAGACCAGTCTGGGCAACATAGTGAAAAACCCTGTTTCTATAAAAAACACAAAGAATTAGCCAGGCATGGTGACATGCACCTGTAGTCCTAGCTACTCAGGAGGCTGAGGTGGGAGGATCACTTGAGCCCTGGAGGCAGAACTTATAGTGAGGTCATGCCACTGCACTCATCCTCAGGCTGGGCAACAGAGCCAAACCCTGTCTTAATAAATAAATAGATAAATAAACTCAATAAATTTCACTTATGAGGTAGGTTGTGTTGTTATCCCCGTTTTATAGAGGAGGAAATGCTAAGAAAGGCTAAGTGACTTGATTTAGTGTAATTGTTTTCCTATTGCCCAAAGGAGCTACGTAAGGGAGGACTGCTTGAACCCAGGAGGTTGAGGCTGCAGTGAGCCATGATCACACCACTGCACACCAGCCTGGGCAACAGAGCGAGACCCTATCTCAAAAAAAAAAAAAAAAAAAAAGCAACATAATTTTTTCAGATAAGCAACAGTACAAAGACGTTTGGTTTTCCCATCACCCTTGAGAGGTGGGGTCATTTACATAACAGGTATCAGTCTAGGCCTGATGATCCCCTACCTTTCCTTAGGTGGGGAGGAATACGGATACATATCCCCAGGGCTACGAAGCAGGACTTTCTTTAGAATTCTCATTTACTACTTAGTCTTAAAAATATGCCAGGTTTGGCCGGGCACGGTGGCTCATGCCTGTAATCCCAGCCCTTTGGGAGGCCGACGTGAGTGGATCATGAGGTCAGGAGTTCAAGACCAGCCTGACCAACATAGCGAAACCCAATCTCTACTAAAATATACAAAAATTAGCCAGGTGTGGTGGCATACGCCTGTAATTCCAGCTACTCAGGAGGCTGAGGCAGGAGAATCATTTGAACCCGGGAGGTGGAGGTTGTAGTGAACCAAGATCATGCCACTGCACTCCAGGCTGGTGACAGAACGAAACTCCATCTAAAACAAACAAACAAAAAAGCCAGGTTTGGTCAAGCACAGTGGCTTATGCCTGTAATAATCCCAACACTTTGGGAGCCCGAAGTGAACAGATTGCTTGAGGTCAAGAGTTTGAGACCAGCCTGACTAACATGGTGAAACCCAATCTCTACTAAAAATACATTTAAAAAATAAAAAATCCCAGCACTTTGGGAGGCCAAGGCGGGTGGATCACGAGGTCAGGAGATCGAGACCATCCTGGCTAACACAGTGAAACCCCATCTCTACTAAAAATACAAAAAATTAGCCGGGTGTGGTGGCGGGCACCTGTAGTCCCAGCTACTCAAGAGGCTGGGGCAGGAGAATGGTGTGAACCCAGGAGGCAGAGCTTGCAGTGAGCCCAGATCGTGCCATTGCTCTCCAGCCTGGACGACAGAGCGAGACTCCATCTCAAAAAATAAAATAAAATAAAATAAAATAAAATAAAATAAAATAAAATAAAATAAAATAAAAAATTAGCTGGGCATGGTGATGCATGCCTGTAGCCCTAGCTACTCAGGAGGCTGAGGCAGGAGAATCGCTTGAACCGGGAGGCGGAGGTTGCAGTGAGCAGAGATCGTACCACTGCACTCCAGCCTGAGCAACAGAGAGAGACTGTCTGAAAACAAACAAACAAACAAATGCCAGGTTTTTGGCTAGGTACATTGGCTCACACCTGTAATCCCAGCACTTTGGGAGGCCGAGGCGGGGGATCACTTGAAGTCAGTAGTTCGAGACCACACTGGCCAATGCAGTGAAACCCTGTCTCTACTAAAAATACAAAAATTAGCCAGGTGTGGTGGCGTGCACTTACAGGCTACTCAGGAGGCTGAGGCAGGAAAATCACTTAAACCTGGGAGGCAGAGGTTGCAGTGAGCTGAGATCGTACCACTGCACTCCAGCTTGGGTGACAGAGTGAGACCTTGTCTCAAGAAAAATAAATAGATAAACAAATAATGCCAGGTTTTCATTGTATTGTGAAATGTAATTCTTAGTTGTTTTAATATAAAATTGTGGAGTTTTTTTCTCCCTCCATTTTTCAAGGGAGATGGTTGTTCCTGGAAGATTTCCCACGTTTATCCCATGATGTTGTTCACCCTCCTGGTACGTGGCACAGTAGACCCCTGGGCCCTTGGAAAGGACCTGCAAACACAGCCATCAGTTTAAGAGTCACACACAAATGTGAGCTAGTGAGTGTGAAACCTAAAATGCACAGCCATGGTGGCATTCCAGGCATAGGGGCAGGTGAGGGATGAGCTCCAGAACCAGACAGACCTGAGTGTTCCCAACCCACTTCGCCTTCACATGAGTGGACAATGTAACTTCTCTGGCTCTCAGTGTCCTCATCTGTACAATAGGAATAACATCTTGTGCTCCGGTTTAGGAAATGAAGTCATGGCCACTAGCCCTTTGGCCATCTCTGGCTTTGTTGTGGGCCTCCCTTGCTGGGTATCCTCAGAAAACTTGTCAAGAAAAGTAACCAGCTAGCCAGGTGCAGTGGCTCATGCCTGTAGTCTCAGCACTTTGGGAGGCCAAGGAGGGTGGATCACAAGGTCAGGAGTTCAGGACCAGCCTGACCAACATGGTGAAACCCCATCTCTACTAAAAATACAAAAAAATTAGCCAGGTGTGGTGGTGCATGTCTGTAATCCCAGCTACTCAGGAGGCGGAGGCGGGAGAATTGCTTGAACCCAGGAGGTGGAGGTTGCAGTGAGCTGAGATCAAGCCACTATCCAGCCTGGGTGACAGAGCAAGACTCCATCTCACAAAAAAAAAAGAAAAAGAAAAGTAACCAGCTTTAAAGGCTGCTGCAAATGTAAACCACTGGAAAGCATTGCTCTAGTCCATGGCTTTCTAATCAGCAAGCAGTGTCCTTTTGAAACGGCTGAAGTGGAGTCTGGCTCCCGGTCCCTCAGGAGCCCTTCCAGCACCCATTGCTTCTCTTGCAGGCGTCTGCAACGTGGACCATCAGAACAAAGCTGGCTACACTGCCGTAATGATCACTCCCTTGGCTTCCGCAGAGACCAATGAAGACATGGCTGTTGTCTGGAAGCTCTTAAGAGAAGGAAATGTGAACATTCAAGCTACTCAGGTGGGTGTAATGAACATGATCTCTTCAGTAGATGCAGGGGCACCTCTCACCTTTATTCTGCTAGTGGGGAGAGAAATTCCATGCAGATCCATGAAGTTTTTAATCCAAGTGAGGCTGGGACCTCCAAATGGCATCAGGCAAAGCCTGAATATTCAGTTTTCCTTATAGGTTCCCGAGACCCAGTCAGGCTTGCACAGAGGTCAGTGAGCTTCTAATATAAGCCCCAGTCTGAAACTGAGCAAATTCCATCTGGGTGCAACCTCCCATTCTCAGTTGCCATCTTGAGAAGGCATTTGCTAGTTGGCTGCTCTAAGAAAGCCCTTACAGGTGACCCACCTTGATCATGGCCCACAGCATCTAACTAGGCTCTTTGGAGGTCCGGTCCTTTAAAGAAGTTCTCACCTCTATCACTCCAAAGCCTTTTAACAAGGTCATAGTCCTCAGACTGAGGGAAACTGTGGATAGCCAGGGCAGACAGAAGCATTGGCTCATCATTCCTAGGGGCGTGAGGAGTTCCACTTTCCAGGCTTATATCAGCTTAGCTCAGAGGCTTATTAGAGAGTTCTGCAGGTCATTATCAATCAACCTGGCATGCTGCCTCCGCCCTTGAAATAACCAGATCCCAAAACACTCCTGTCTGCCTTACCTTTGCACCAACAAGTGTGAGTGGCATTATTCCAGACACACAAATCATGCCCCAGTCCCCAGGAGCAGTGCCATGGGCCAGGCTGGGAACAGCAGTTGCTGCGAAGAGCCAGTGGAGCCCTACACAAATGTAGTAGCCAGGGATTCAGGACAGGTGGGCTCCACGAATTCCTTGGGTCACTTGTGCCCTAGGTCAGAAGAGCCCTTAAAGGTCACCTAGGTCTACCCCTTATTATTTTGCAAAATCCTACAAGGTGGTCTCCAGCTCCAGGACCTCCACTGTCAGGAAACTCACGCTCTACCAAAGCAGCCCATTTGGTACTCTAGACAGCTCTGATAACTTTCTATACTGAGCCAAAACTGGGTACTCTGAATCTTTCTTTTTTTTGAAACAGAGTCTCGCTCTGTCACCCAGGCTGGAGTGCAATGGCGTGATCTCGGCACGCTGCAACCTCCACCTCCCGGTTCAAGTGATTCTTCTGCCTCAGCCCCCCAAGTAGCTGAGACTACAGGCACCCGCCATCATACCTAGCTAATTTTTGTATTTTTTAGCGATGGGGTTTCACTGTGTTGGCCAGACTGGTCTTGAACTCCTGACCTCAGATGATCCACGTGGCTTGGCCTTTCAAAGTGCTGGGATTACAGGCGTGAGCCACCGTGCCTGGCCTCTGAATCTTTCATGGAGTGATTAGAAGTTGAGTGGGGTTCACTCCAAAAAACGATCTTAAGACAGCAAAGGCAGCGCAGAGGGTTGGAATGTCTCTATTCATCTTCTGGGGCCCTCTGCTTGAGAACACAGGGTGGGGGTGTGGTCCTTACCCAGAAGGGCTTTGAGTTAGACAAGGCTCCACATAGAACAACAGGGACTCCTCAAAAGGTCATTTGCCCATTTTTTGAACCTACAGGAATGAATGGAGTATGTTTAACTCTCCTTTCCCCTGGAGTGATCACAGATGATAAGGTAACTGTTGAGAGCTGTGAAGAGGCTGGGCTTTTACCCCATGTTAAAGCCAACAAGGTGGCCTGCTACAGTTTTGTGGATGCTGGCAGAAGACATGAGACTTCTGTGCCCGAGACAAAGGACCATGTATTACCCACAGCCGAAGCAGTAGCCACAGTATCAGCATTGCCCAAATCCCAGCTCCCACGGGGCAGTGTGAGGAGGGCCAGAAAGCTGAGCCTGGAGTGGGTTGTGTGACAGGACAGGACCCCTGAGCACAGGGAAACTGAAGCTTTGATAAGGGACAGTAAGCCTGCCTGCCCTTTTCTCCAAAGAAGACACAAGGCTGTTCACTATATAAACATCCTTAAAAAGATAGTCTAGAACAAAAGGGCAGATTGTGGTGTGCTTTACTCACAGGATGTGCAGAAAAGCAAGAGACTTATGGAAAATGGACTCCTAACAATATATTAAGCACCACTGTCCCATACTCCCCCAGAGTGATTGCAGATAGTAACCCAACCTGATGGCAAAGTGATCGTTGCATACTAACAGCAACCCTAGTGATGGCCAGAAACCAGTATTTGTAGATTGCTTTCTGGTTTTCAAGGTGTTCTACTCACCTACAACTCCTGTTCCATAAGACTCAATACAGCTCATATTTCATTTTTAACTAATGTTTCCCATAAATATGTTAATTATTTTCTAAATTGTCCCTCTTGTAAGAGGGGATGCTTGCAAGAGGATCAAAATCAACCCCTTATTTGTACAGAGAAGAAACTGATGCTGTAGGAGGACAAGGGACTCATTCCAGGTGACCACAGGAGGGGTGAGAATGCGTAGCTGCAGCCATTCCCTTTAGCTCCCCCTGGGCCTTCACATGTGAAGAGAGGTGGAGGTACCAGATTCAATGGGAATGCGCTGGGAGTCTCCTAGGAACAAGCTGCTTCTCTCTGGATCTCCAGGGCAGTACAGCAGCATATAGTAGCTCTCTGTAAATGCTCATTGAATTAAATTATATTGAAAGGGACCAGGAGAACGATGAGAAAGGAAGGGGTCCTGCATCAGGCAGAGGGGCAGATGTGAGGACCATCTACATATGTCAAATGGCTTTAATAACAGTTGGGGGCTGGGCGCGGTGGCTCACACCTATATTCCCAGCACTTTGGGAGGCCAAGGCGGGCTGATCACTTGAGGCTGGGAGTTTGAGGCTAGCCTGGCCAACACAGTGAAACTCCATCTCCACTAAAAATACAAAAAAAAAAAAAACTTAACTGGGCATGGTGGTGGGCGCCTGTAATCCCAGCTACACGGGAGACTGAGGCAGGAGAATTGCTTGAACCTGGGAAGCAGAGGTTGCAGTGAGCCAAGACTGTGCCATTGCACTCCAACCTGGGTGACAGAGCAAGACTCCGTCTCAAAAATAATAATAATAAAACAGTTGGAAAGAGGGGTCTGGAAACTTTGTGGTCTGGACAGTTCAATAAACAACCGTACATATGTATGTATATACATGTATATGTATGTATCAACCTGGCATGCTGCCTCAGCCCTTGAAATAACCAGATCCCAAAACACTCCTATCTGCCTTATCTCTGCACCAGCAAGTGTGAGTGGTATTATTTCAGACACACAAATCATGCCCTAGTCCCCAGGAGCCATACATATATATGTATGTATATATACGTATATGTGTGTATATATACACACACACACACACAAACACACACATATAATACATACAAGGTCTGGAAACCTTGTGGTCTGAATAGTTCAGCGACAAGGTTTCACCATGTTGGCTAGGCTGGTCTTGAACTCCTGACCTCAAGTGAACTCCTGACCTCGCCCACCTCAGCTTCCCAAAGTGCTGAGATTACAGCCATGAGCCACCGCACCCGGCCCTATGTATATCTCTACAGTCCTCTCATCCAACTTTGTTATATTTTGCCCTCATGGTTTTCCTGGGTTCCAGGCAGGTCTCTCTGATGGGACATCAGGCTTTGTAAGGTTGAAGAATAAGGCAAGAACTGTTTTCTCTCCTTTTGGATCCCCTGAGGCCCTGAAAGCACTATCTTACATGTAAAAACTGCTGAGGGCGGCTGAGCGTGGTGGTTCACACCTGTAATCCCAGCACTTTGGGAGGCTGAGGTGGGAGGATCACCTGAGGTCAAGATTTCGAGACCAGCCCGACCAACATGGTGAAACTCCATCTCTACTAAAAATACAAAAATTAGCCGGGCGTAGTGACGGGCACTTGTAATCCCAGCTACTTGGGAGGCTGAGGCAGGAGAATGGCTTGAATCTGGGAGGTGGAGGTTGCAGTGAGCCAAGATTGCACCATTGCACTCCAGCCTGGGCAACAGAGCAAGACTCCATCTCAAAAAACAAACAAACAAACAAACAAACATTGGCCAGATGGAGTGGCATACGCCTATGGTCACAGCTACTCAGGAGGCTGAGGTAGGAGGATCACTTGAGCCCGGGAGGCAGAGTTTGCCGTGAGTCGTGCTCATGCTACTCCACTCCAGTCTGGGTGATAGAGTGAGATTCTGTCTCAAAAAAAAAATATATATATATACACACACACACACACACACACATATAGTATATATAAGAAAATCTATGGGAAATGGGAAATGATGGTCAATTTGTAATCAGAAAAATTACTACTGTACATTATTATATTTACATCCTTTATCTCATTTGATTCCCAAAAAAGCCCTGTGAGGTACACAGGACAAATCATTGTTTTATATATATATATATATATATATATGTTTTTTTTTTTTTTTTTTTTTTTGAGACAGATCTTGTTCTGTTGCCCAAGCTGGAGTGCAGTAGCACAATCTCAGCTTGCTGTAACCTCTGCCTCCCTGGTTCAAGCGATTCTCCTGCCTCAGCCTCCCGAGTAGCAGGTGCCCGCCACCATGCCTAGCTAATTTTTGTATTTTTTCTTTTTTAGTAGAGACAGTTTCACCATGTTGGCCAGGCTGGTCTTGAACTCCTGACCTCAGGTGATCTGCCCGCCTTGGCCTCCCAAAGTGCAGGGATTACAGGCATGAGCCACTGCACCCGGCCCCAATTGTTATATTAATTCTTAAGAGAAGGAAAACCAGCTGGGCACAGTGACTCACACCTGTAATCCCAGCACGTTGGGAGGCCAAGGAGGGCGGCTCACCTGAGGTCAGGAGTTCAAGACCAGCCTGGTCAACATGGGGAAACCCTGTCTCTACTAAAAATACAAAAATTAGCTGGGCATGCTGGCAGGTGCCTGTAACCCCAGCTACTTGGGAGGCTGAGGCAGGAGAATGGCTTGAACCCAGGAGGCGGAGGTTGCAGTGAGCCAAGATCGTGCCATTGCACTCCAGCCTGGGCGACAAGAATGAGACTTCATCTCAAAAAAAAAAAAAACTAGCCGGATGTAGTGAGTGGCACATGCCTGTGAGCCCATCTACTTGGGAGGCTAAGGTGGGAGAATCACTTGATCCCAAAAGATTGATGCTGAAGTGAGCTGTGATTGTGCCACTGCACTCCAGCCTGGGTAACACAGCAAGACCCCATATTTAAAAAAAAAAAAAAAAAGAAAAACCGAGAATCAAGAAGACAGTGACGTGACCTGAATCATGCATTAGGAAACAGCAGAACTAGAGCTTGAACTTGCTTTCTGATTCCAGCTCATTGCTACGTCCACCTATGATTACAGAGATGCCCAACATTACTGTCAATGTCTATAGATTAGAAATGACCACGGGACATGCAACCAGAGATCATGTTGAGAGAGGAGGGTTCTGGGTATCCTTCAACGGAGAATTTCAGAGGCATTGAGCAGAGAAGGCTTCATGGGGAAAGTCAGGCTGGGGCAGGCAGTAAGAAGCCATGATGCTCAAGCACTCAACCTTCATCTGTTCCATCATTCCACATTTATCAGCATGTTCTTGGTGCTGGACACTGGGGAGACAGGGACAAAAACACTTAGTCCCTGCTGTCAATAATGTCACATCCATGCGAAAGAGCAGTTGACAAGTTGCAATACTAAGTGGTGAGTGCTGTGTTAGGAATCCCGTGCCTGGGGAGTGAGAGAAGGCTTTAGCGAGGATGTAGCGTTTCACTAATCTTAAAAGAGTAGAAGTTTGCCAAGCAGAGAAGGTTATGTCCCATATCAAGGGCAGGAGACTCAGATCAGTGGTTGTGTTCTTGGAAGTCTCTGACGAGCACACCCAGGCTGGAGAGGCGGTCCTTCCCCACTGGCAGCAACCTCATCACATCCCTGTGGCTCTGCATGCAGGGAGGCCAGACTGCACTGATGCTGGGAGTCAGCCACGACAGGGAGGACATGGTTCAAGCGCTGCTTAGCTGCCAGGCAGATGTCAATCTGCAGGACCACGATGGATCCTCGGCCCTCATGCTGGCCTGTCACCATGGCAACGTGGACCTGGTGCGGCTGCTCCTGGCACACCCGGCCTGCGACAGCAGTCTGACTGACAAGGTGAGACTTACAGACAATTAACAAGTAGCTGTTGCTGGGCAGGGTGGCTCATGCCTGTAATCCCAGCACTTTGGGAGGCTGAGGTGGGAGGATCACTTGAGACCAGGAGTTCAAGACCAGCCTGGGCAACATAGGGAGACCCCATCTCTTTAAAAAATATATATATATAGCTGTTTAATTTCCCCTCCTGAAGAGTGCCTTGCCAGCCAGCAAAATTCAAGGAACCCTATGGCAGTGCAACAAAATCAGCCTTCTAAAGCTGTTGTGGGATTTTTTTTTTTTTTTTTTTTTTTTTTTTTTTTTTTTTTTTGAGATGGAGTCTGCCTCTGTCGCCCAGACTAGAGTGCAGTGGCGCAATCTGGGCTCACTGCAAGCTCCGCCTCCCAGGTTCACACCATTCTCCTGCCTCAGCCTCCGGAGTTACTGGGACTACAGGCGCCCGCCAACACGCCTGGCTAAGTTTTTGTATTTTTAGTAGAGATGGGGTTTCACCGTGTTAGATAGGATAGTCTTGATCTCCTGACCTCGTGATCCACCCGCCTCGGCCTCCCGAAGTGCTGGGATTACAGGCATGAGCCACCGTGCCTGGCCTTGTGGGATTTAAATAAGAGGCTCAGCACAGTGGCTCATGTCTGTAATCCCAGCACTTTCAGAGGCCAAAGCAGGAGGATTGCTTGAGACCAAGAGTTCAATACCAGCCTGGGCAGCACAGTGAAACCCCATCTCTACTAAAAATACAAAAATTAGCTGGGCGTGGTGGTGGGAACCTGTAATTCCAGTTACTCTGGAGGCTGAGGCAGGAGGATCACTTGAACGTGCGAGGTGGAGGTTGCAGTGAGCTGAGATCGCACCACTGCACCACAACCTAGGCAACAAGAGTGAAACTCTGTCTCAAACAAAAAACAAAACAAAACAAAAAATTAACCAGGTGTGGTGTTGCACGCCTATAATCCCAGCTGCTCAGCAGGCTGAGGCAGGAGGATTGATTGAGCCCAGAAAGTTGAGGTTGCAGTGAGCCACGATCAGGCCACTGTACTCCATCCTGGGTGACAGAGTGAGATCCTGTCTCTAAAAAATTTAAAAAATAAATAAATAAATGAGATGATTCATGGTAAATGTTTGGAGTCTTAGAGCTGCAAAACCCACAATCCTAGCTTTTCACAACACCATCTTGTGCGAATATACCCAGGTCTGGGTATATTTAGCCTCATTTGGTCATGGCAATAACAACATGTGGGCTTTGAGGCAGTAGCTTAGATGGGGAAGCTCTACTGTCCAATAGGGACTCAAAAGCCTTCAGAAGGAATCAACCTTACAGAGTCATCTCTGTAGTCATTTAACTGAAAGTGCCTCTTGGACACAGATCCACTTTATGAAGCAGCCCATTCCATCAAGCCAGCCTACTTGAAGTTGCACTGTTAGTCACAGGCTTCTTAAATAAACTTCCTCATAAGGTGATGGCAATGATGATGATGACAATAGTAACTAATCAGTAACAATAGTAACCAACACATATGGAGGGCTTACTCTGTGTCAGGTACTGTACTAAGCATTTGTCATGGACCGTTTCATTTAAACCCCACAACAATCTTGTGAGATTGTCTTCCTACTGCCCCACTTTGCTCAAGGAGACAGAGGCATCAAATGGTTAGGTTACATACCCAGGATTACTCAGCTAGTGGAACCTGGCTCCATTAAACTCCTGGGCCCATACCCTTAACTGTTCCATCATCATCAGTGTTTCACATTGAAGCATCCATGTCTCTGGCTCCCTGCTGAATCCCCCACACCTAGTAGAGTGCCTGCCACATTTCATTGAATCAATCAACAAATGAGTGAGTGAACCTCTAAACTTTGGAAGTAAGTCAACAGTAAGTGACCTTATTCCTGATAATTACGGTAGGTATAATAATAGTTCTAGAGTGCTCCTGGGAAGTAAACCTTTCCCATGCATTATGTCTAATCCTCTCCCTCTCAGTAATCCAGTGACATAGATACTGATGTCCACTTTTTACTGATGAGAAAACAGGCCTGGAGATGTTACGTAACTGTCCTAAGAGTTACAGCCTACTGATTCTCAGAGCAGAGATTCAAGCCTAGGTCTGACTCCAGTATCCTTAATATTGGCACTGTAATGTAATGATTTAAGCAGCTGTTTTATGCTTTCTTAACAGCCACAGTTCAAAGGGAACAAAAACCTGGCGAGGGGAAGAGAGTCCTCTCCCTGCCCAGGGGCAGCACCTCTTACTGGGCCACATTTAAACTACCCAGAGATTGACTCATCAGCAATTTAAGCTGCTGTGTCCCTCAGTCACACCCAGACAGCAGGCACCCATCCAGTGACTCTAGGTCCTGTGAACCCTACCTTCACCCCAAAGCCATTTCTGAGATCATTAGAGAGCACAGACCTTCTTGACATTCATTTGGGAACAGGGGTGGACTACTAGAAACCAGAGCCTCCTCTTCCAAACATTATATGGTCAGACAAAGGATCTGTGCTAATGAGCTCCCTGCTGGGTTGTCCTGGGGGAGAAGGAGGCAGCCCTAATCTGGAACAGGCCTGTACATCAAAGGCTCCTGGCCCTCTAAGGCATAGCCACTGCTGATGCCCAAAGAGGCCTGAGATGGGGGGCCTGTGGGACAGGCAGGCAGGCATGAGCTTTGGAAGTCCCTGGCTAGCTGAGATAATCAGGCAGTGGATCTGAGAGCTCTCCTGGGTATCTCTGGAGGTCTGTCACAGGTATGAGAGAGCCTAGTGGCTGCTTTCTGGTGGTGGAAGAGTTGTGGGATCTGTTGCATTTCAGACAACTCAAGCATGATTGTTAGAAGCATGGACTTTAAACACTCACGAGACCAGGTGCAGTGGCTCATGCCTGTAATCCGAACACTTTGGGAGGCCAGGTGGGGAGGATTGCTTGAGCCCAGGAGTTTGAGACCAGTCTCAGCAACAAAGTGAGACCCCCTGTATTAGTCCGTTTTCACACTGCTGATAAAGACATACCTGAGACTGGGCAATTTACAAAAGAAAGAGGTTTAATTGGATTTACAGTTTCACATGGCTGGGAAAGTCTCACAATCATGGCAGAAGGCAAGGAGGAGCAAATCACATCTTACACAGATAGCAGCAGGCAAAGAGAGAGCTTGTGCAGGAAAACTACCCCTTATAATAACCATCAGATCTCATGAGACTTACTCACTATCATGAGAACAGCACAGGAAAGACCTGCCCCCATGATTCAATTACCTCACACAGGTCCCTCCCACAACATGTGGGAATTCAAGATGAGATTTGGGTGAGGACACAGCCAAACCATATCACCCCCTCTCTACAGAAAATAGAAAAAGATTAGCCAAGTGTGGTGGCTTGCACCTGTAGTCCCAGCTACTCAGGAGGCTGAGGCAGGAAGATTGCCTGAGCCCGGGAAGTTGAAGCTACAGTGAGCCGTGATCATACCAGGGAACGCCTGTCTGGGTGACAGAGTGAGACCCTGTCTCAAAAAAAATAAAAATAAAAATAAATTAAACGCTCATGAGTTCGAATCTAGGTTCAGTGACTTTGGGTAGGTGACCTAACTATTCTGGGCCTCTAGATGCTCATCTGTAAAATGGGGACAGCAGTAGACTCTACCTAAATACTGTAATGTTTATAAAGGCTGAAGCTGACATCTAGGAGTACACAGGGGATGGTAACTGTTTTAATTATGAATAGATGAATAGTGGTAGCTAAAACAAAAAAATACCACATCAACTAGCAGGGACCATGGCATTTACAGATAGTGTCTGGAGGGAGCAGAGAGAACAAAGGTCTGGAATTAGGGGAACCAATCAGAGTAGAGCGACCGACCCCTGAAGGGAGAAGCCACTGACAGACTTGGTTCAATCTAGTGGTTCTCAGCCAGGGGTGATTTTACCCTCTGGGGGAGATTTGGCAATGTCTGGGGACATTTTTAGTCACAAATGGGTGAGCAAATGCTCCTGACATCTAGTAGGTAGAGGCCAGGGATACAGCTAAACATCCTACAATACACAGGAACAGCAAAGAATTAACACTTATCCATCCAGGCCCGGTGGCTCATGCCTGTAATCCCAGCACTTTGGGAGGCCGAGGTGGGCGGATCACTTGAGGTCACGAGTTCAAGACCAGCCTGGCCAACATTTTGAAACCCTGTCTCTGCTAAAAACACAAAAATTAGGCGTGGTGGCACACGCCTGTAATCCCAGCTACTCGGGAGGCTGAGACAGGAGAATCGCTTGAACCTGGGAGGTGGAGGTTGTAGTGAGCTGAGATCGTGCCACTGTACTCCAGCCTAGGTGAAAGAGCAAGACTCTGTCTCAAAAAAAAAAAAAAAAATTATCTGGTCAAAATATCAATAGTGCTGCAATTGAGAACGCCTGGTCTAGGCAAACACCGAAATCCAGATGGGTTTAGGTAACCAATCCTGTTGAAGTGCTGGATCAGGGAGAGCCAGGCCAGGCTGAGGACCGGGCAGGCTGGAGTTCAGGTAGGCTGTAAGCCTGGAAGGGAGGGACTGGAGTGCTAATCAGGAGATGGAGGAGGAAATCTATCATGGCAGAAGCTGGAGCAACTTAGGGAAAGCCCAGCCAGCACAGTGGTGCCCAGGTAGTGCAGGTAATGGGCCCACAGGTAAGGCGGGTTCCAGACCCCACTCATGGATGGGTCACGTGCTGCCCACCTGGGTCAGGTTTGATTCACATGCAGATTCCTGAGGGTGACTTTGGGGAGCACAGCGTCTCCAACCGCAGGGTGAGACATTTCAGTGGGAAAAGGGAGCTTTTGACAAGGCTCTACCAAGTACCAAGGCTTGTACTTGGTGCTTCACATTTAGGGGGAAAGTCTGGCCCTTATCATACCCACCATATCATTTCCATATTCATCTTTCCTATGGAGGCTTAGGTGTTAACAGCAGAGCTCATTTGGGAATGTCTATGGAAAACTGGGAGAGAATTCATGTCCTGAAATTGGTTTATTTCATCAACATTTAAAGTTCGGTATAAATGCAGAACTCCCAGAACCGCTGGCCAGGCCCTTTCCCTAGATTTAAAGACAATTTGAGGAAATCCGTCACCCAGCCTCTTCTGGGTCTCAGAGCCCACCCTTTAATTTGTCAGCTTCTTTAAAGCACCCATCAGATTGAAAACTTCTTGAAGGCAGAGATTATGCCTTGCTCATCTTTGGGTGATACATAGTGGGCTTGTGATGAATTCAAAGACACCCCCTCCAACACATGGATACACACACGGTTGTACAGTTGTGCCAGCTGCCTGCACACTTCTCTTTTTCTTTCCTTCTTTTTTTTTTTAAAAATAGGGTCTTACCCTGTCGCCCAGGCTGGAATGCAGTGGCACGATCATGGCTTATTGCAACCTTGACCTCCTGGGTTCAAGTGATCCTCTTACCTCAGCCTCCCAAAGTGTTGGGATTACAAGCATGAGCCAGTGCGCCTGGCCAAGTGCAGATTTTTGAATCCCCGAAGTTACACGCAACTTTTGCACCATATCTGGCTAGTCCCCCATCTCTTCAGTCAGGATCTCCTAGAGCAGCTCTGGAGTGTTGTCAAGCAGGGGCTCACCATACCTGGCTCCCATGGGAGCTGCATGGCATGGGCTTGTTCCCAGGGTTCTGGCAGAGGCATCTGAGGAACACTAACCCTCGCCAAGTTGTCTCTGTGGCCACACCTCCTGAGCTGAATGGGGTCCTCTGCTCTCCATGTCAGCAGTCGAGAAGTCCACAGCTGCAGGCTGTCCTCCAGATGGACCCTGTTAAAAGGTGCGCCTCCCCTGGGACTGGCCTGGGGCTCTTCTGCATAAACACTGTCTGCACATACTCTGTGTTTACATAGAGCCTCAGGATTGACAAGGCACAGCGGATGGAGATCAGGAGCAGGAACTCCAGCCTAAGTAAACCCAGGCCCCTCCTTTAGGAGGCTTTTACAGGACTCCCTGCTTAAAAGCTTTGCTTTGTTCCAGTACTTTCCAGTGTAGGAACCCATTCACTAGGATTTAGATTCCATCAGCTTGAATGAATACCATTAGGTTCTCGTGCAGCATTCTCTCTTTCAACAATGCTTGTTGAGGGCTGACCAAACGCCAGGCTCTGGGCCAGGTGCCAGCATGCAGCAATGAACAGGCCAGATCAGGTTCTTGACCTTGTGGAGACCGAAATTTATCAAATAACTCCACAAATACCAGCATATAGCAAGTGGTGAAAGAAAAGTCTAGGGAGTCATGAGGGCTTTTCAGGGAAAGAACTTTGTATGTTTTGAGAAGCCCATGTGCCATCTTTGGGGGTCCTACTGAAACGCCACTTCCTTCCTCTGCCTCCCCCAGCCATCTTCTACCCCGCCCTGGCACACAGTGGCCATCCTCTCCCCTGAGCTCACTCTGTTCCTGTCTTCTGACTCGTTTAGTGCTTTGCCATGCTTTATAGTTATTTGCATGCATGGGAGCCCTGATGGCCACTGGATTCCATCCCTGTGCATGGGGAAAAGCCTGAAGTGTTAAGCTGGGTGTTAACACTTCCTACCTGCTTCTGTGAAAGAACTGTCCACATTTTAGGAAGTAACTCTGTGCCTATGCAGTAGAGAACAATCTAATGGGGTCTTGGGTGTCCCTACCCGTCAAACCCTTTACAGCAGCAAAATGTCAAAATATTCACAGTAGGCCAACAGCCTCAGGTCAGATTTCAGCTCCCAAGAAGTTACCTAAAGAGTGTGGTTTTCAGAGCTGTTGAGAGTTCAGAATTCTGGATGTGAGACTGAGCTCATTCGTAAGAGACTGCGGCTGCTCAGTCAGGCTGGTGGTGCCTGATGAGAGCCTTCTGGGTGCAGCTTCTTTAGACAGTGGGACTGCCAGCTTCCTGCATTGCGTGTCAATGTAAAGAGTGCTGTGGCATCACAGATCAGGAGGTAAAAATGTGCATGTCCTTCAATGCTCTGAGCTCACTTCTTTTTATTTTATTTTATTTATTTACTTATTTATTTAGAGACGGAGTTTCACTCTTGTTGCCCAGGCTGGAGTGCAATGGCGCGATCTCGGCTCACCTTAACCTCCGCCTCCCAGGTTCAAGCGATTCCCATGCCTCAGCCTCCCGAGTAGCTGGGATTACAGACATGCGCCACCACGCCAGGCTAATTTTGTATTTTTAGTAGAGAGGGGGTTTCTCCACGTTGGTCAGGCTGGTCTTGAACTCCCGACCTCAGGTGATCCACTGGCCTTGGCCTCCCAAAGTGCTGAGATTACAGGTGTGAGCCACCGCACCCGGCCTCTGAGCCCACTTCTAAGAGTCAGTCCTTAGGAAATAATTAAAAATAGGAAAATGCTTTTTGCACTAAGATTACGATGGCAGGGACTTGGAAACAACATAAATTTCCATTGAAAGGAAGTTATGGAATATTTCCATAATTAGTAAAAATTAGTAAATTATGGAATATTACACAGCCAAAAAGAAAAATCATGCATTATAATGGCTATGTAAGAATAAAGAAAAATCGTATAGCATATCATGGTAAATTAAGAATTAAAGCAAATTCAAAGTTGATATGCAATATCATTCCTTTATTTAAAAACCAACAACAGGACAGGTGCAGGACGGGACAGGATTACAAATTCACGCCTGTAATCCTAAAACTTTGGGAAGCCAATGTGGGAGGGTCACTTGAGCCCAGGAGTTCAAGACCAGCCTGGGCAACATAGGGAGACCCGGTCTCTACAAAAAATAAAAAAAAAAAAAAAAAAAGAACCAACAACAAATTTGCACCGGAGAAAAGATTGGAGGAAAACACACCAGAATGCTAACTTTCACTTAGATACATGTAATGGAATAGCAGCAGTTATTTTATTTCCTGTTTTCCAATTTAAAGTAGAAAAAAGTGGGGCTGGGCTCAGTAGCTCACACCTATAATCCCAGCAGTTTGGGAGGCCAAGGTGGGCAGACCACTTCAGCCCAGGAGTTTGAGACCAGCCTGGGCAACTTGGTGACACCCCATCTCTACAAAAAATACAAAAATTAGCCAGGCATGGTGGTGTGTACCTGTAATCCCAGCTACTTGGCAGGCTGAAGGTGGAAGATCACCTGAGCCCAGGAGACGAAGGTTGCAGTGAGTTGTGATTGCGCCACTGCACTCCACCCTGGATGATAGAATGAGACTCCATCTCAAAAAAAAAAAAAAAAAAAAAAGCATTAAAAACCAGATGCCCCTTCTTTATTTCTATGTCACAGATTTCCCAGGAGTTACTGTTGTTTCTGTGGAAGGGACCGCATTTCTGGTGATCCTCATGCCATTTGAATCTTCTCCTCTACGGAGGTCTCTGGAAGCCTTCATAGACACCTGTGTCCCAGTCATACCCCTACTCCCAACTTGCCGTTCCCCACTGGGCAGGAGGCAGATTGGATGATATTTATTTCTCCTTTCCTTTTTCTCCTATAGGCTGGCCGTACAGCTTTGTCCATCGCTCTGAAGTCACCCACCCATATGGAAATTGCTGGGCTTCTGAGAGCCCACGCGGAGCAGGGCAGGCCCCTGGGGCTGTAGGGGCTGCAGAAGAACTGGTGGTGGGGAACAAAAGCCTTCTTCTCTGGACTCCTCCCTCGCCCTTGAAGAGGGCAGAGGTCACAGGCCAGAGAGCCACCCCTCTAGAGAAGAAACTATGTCAAATATGCACATACATTCCTGTTGTATAATTCTGCTCATTAGGATGCTTTGTAGTTTTTGCCTTAGGCCAAGCCCCAAAACTACACGGGCTTCAGAGCAGGGTTCAAGGTGCAAGGTGAGGGGTACATCAGTGTCATCCAAACATCCAAAACATCTTCAGCCTTGAATTCCTCATGACTCTACCCTCTGTAGCATCGTGTAGCAAGAAGGCAGGCAGGAGCACATTCGCACATTAGGAAAAGCAATACTTTTTACATGGAATTTTAAAGTGCACTATCTTTGTTTTTTAAGCAAGTGTATACAAATATGTCCCATTGATATGCATGTCTAGAGATGGGAGGGGATTTAAGCCAACCCCTGGCAAGCATTCTGTAGAGGACCCTAGAAGAATCACCATGCAGACTGGTGAAACTGAACAAGGACCATTTGGGAGATTTGTTTTGATGGGGTTGACAAAGAAATCTTAAATTCAGACAAGGTAGGAAAAAGCACATTGGCGTCAATGCTGGATGTACAGTCTTGACTATTTCTGAGTCATCTAGTGACTCCAATGTGCTCCAGGGAAATTGGAATTAACTGAGAAATTTATTATCTAGTAGGTTAGTATGTAATAAATAAAAAAAGGAAATTCAATCCAATGACACACACCACATGTATTTGGGCAGAGTCAGATTCTTTCAGCTATTTTGAGTCTGTAAAAGAAACCAAAAAAAAGCTTCCTCCTGAGGATGGGTTATTGTCATCAAGAAGCCATCACATTTCCTGCATAGCTGTACCCATTACCTATGGTAATTCCCGGTGCTTTCCCCTCATATCCCCTAGAAGCAAATATCTGTTCTGAGGTTCTCTGGGACTTGTGGCTGCAGAGCCTTCAAGCCTGGAAAGCAGCAGAAGCAAGGGAGCCAGGCAGGGCAGGGCAATCCTTTCCGAAGCTTCCATATTCCCTGGGGCCAGCACATGCGAGGTTTGTATGGTCAGTAGCTCACGTGAGGTCATCTGAATACGCTCTTTCTTTAAATCTCCTATGGAAAAAAAAAAAACAAAAAAACTCCCTTATATTAAAAGAAGTAGTGTCAAAGTTTGATGAGCTTTACATTGGAAACGCAAAAGCTTGCACTCTCATTTTGGCTGGGATGCCGATTTGCTGGGTGCTGCTGCGGTGAGTCATGAAACCTCCTTGGGCCCCAATTTCATCATCTCTAAAAACGGAAATTATCATACAACCTACCTCCTGGGGGGTGCTGCACAAGAAGCAGCTGATGGAAGTTCTGAAATCCAATTTGTGGCCGGGCGTGGTGGCTCATACCTGTAATCCCAGCACTTTGGGAGGCTGAGGTGGGTGGATCTCCTGGGGTCGAGAGTTCGAGACCAGCCTGACATACATGGAGAAACTCCGTCTCTACTAAAAATGTAAAAATTAGCTGGGCATGGTGGCAGGTGCCTGTAATCCCAGCTGCTTGGGAGGAGGCAGGAAAATCACTTGAACCTGGGAGGCGGAGGTTGCAGTGAGCTGAGATCATGCCATTGCACTCCAGCCTGGGTAACAAGAGCGAAACTCTGTCTAACAAATAAAAGTTAAAAAAAAAAAAATCCAATCTGTAACCCATTAAGGCCATCTATAGAAATGGTACAGCAAACTTCTTTATGCTGTTGTGATTCATAAGAGAGGCTCAAAGTCCCAGAACACACGACATGTGATGATGCAACTCAGAGGTGGAGAGAATGGAGCAAATAATGAGCAAAAAAAAAAAGCTTTAAATGGGTTTATTTTGACCTCAAAATACATTGTAAGAGCAACATCCTACGTTAATAAATGTTCTAGCCCGGTGCTTCGCGAACATTTATCTGCATACAAATCACCTGGGATCTTGTTAGAAGGCAGTAGGTCTGGGGTGGGGCCTGAGAGTCTGCATTTCTAACCAGGTCCCAGGAGATGCTGATGCTATCGAGCCACAACCACACTTTGAGTAGCAAGCCTCTGGCCTATCCTTATTGTTTGTTATATTAAAATGCTGCCTCCCAATCTTCTGTCTCAAAATTTCTTTGCATTTCTCTGCTCTTGGTTCTTGGGAATTTGTAGCGTGGGTCTTATTTGCTATTGTCTTCAGTATAGAGTCTGTGTCCTGTGTTGCCTGATTAGGATTTATTTCTGCATCTCATATTCGGTGGCAACTTTCATTGGATCACTTTAAAAAAATGAAATCATATTAAAAACAACTTATTTACCAGGAAAAGCAAACTGGGTTTCCTAGGGCTTGAAGACTACTTACTCATCACTATCAAAAGACTGTCCATCCTTTCTGAGGTTTTTAATAATTTTATTTTAATCTCAAGTTTTGGACATGAGCATATGATTTCATCCTCTATAACCATTTCTTTCCTTTGGAATGTCTGAGCTCAGAATATGGTGAGATGAACACGCACAGCCTGCCTTCCTGTCACGGTCCCTCAGCTCTAAAATTCATTTAAAAATATCTATTGATTGGGGTGCTGAGGCGGGCAGATCACTTAAGGTCAGGAGTTAGAGACCAGCCTGGACAACATGGTGAAACCCTGTCTCTACCAAAAATATTTAAAAATTAGCCAGGTGTAGTGGTGTGTTCCTGTAATCCCAGCTACTCAGGAGGCTAAGGCTGGAGAATTGCTTGAACCTGGGAGGCAGAGGTTGCGGTGAGCCAAGATCACGTCACTGAACTCCCACCTAGCCAACACAGCGAGACTGTTTCAAATATATATATGTGTGTGTGTGCGTGTGTGTGTGTGTGTGTATATATACCGGCCAGGTGCCCGGCACTGTTCCCAGCACTAGAGACATCACAGTGAGTCCAGTTCGGTCTCCTGCCTCACCATCCCCTAGGGAAAACACATAGAAGGTCAAAGGAAGCCCAGAGGGGTACCACTAAAGGGAACCAGAGCTGGCCTTAGGAAGTCAAGGGAGGCTTCCTGGAGGAAGGGCCACTGAACTTAAAGATTACTGGATGTTAGGCAGAAAAGGAAGCGGAGTGAGAGGTGAGTGTCAGGCAGAAGAGTACTACTGTAACTGCCCAGTGAGTTCACCTTGCCTGTTGCCTAGACAGAGCTGATTTATCAAGACTGGGGAATTGCAATAGAGAAAGAGTAATTCACGCAGAGCTGGCTGTGCAGAAGAACAGAGTTTTGTTATTACTCAAATAAGTCTCCCCAAGCATTCGGGGAGCAGAGTTTTAAGGACAACTTGGGGGCTGGGAGGAAGCCAGTGAGCCGGGAGTGCTGATTGGTCAGGTCGGAGATGAACTCAGAGAGAGTTGAAGCTGTCTTCTTGTGCTGAGTCAGTTGCTGGGTGGGGGCCGCAAGATCAGAAGAGCCAGTTTATCAATCTGGGTGGTGCCAGCCGATCCATCAAGTGCAGGGTCTGCAAAATGTCTCAAGCACTGATCTTTGGAGCAGTTTAGGGAGGGTCAGAACCTGGTAGTCTCCAGCTGCATGACTCCTAAACCATAATTTCTAATCTTGTGGCTAATTTCTTGTCCTGCAAAGGCAGTCTAGTCCCCAGGGAAGAAGGAGGTTTGTTTTGGAAAAGGGCTCTTATCGTCTTTGTTTTAAACTATAAACTTCCTCCCAAAGTCAGTTCAGCCTGTGCCCAGGAATGAACAAGGACAGCTTGGAGGTTAGAAGCAAGATGGAGTTGGTTAGGTCAGATCTCTTTCACTGTCTGTTATAAGTGTGCAATGGCAGTTTCACTGTGGAGGCTGAAAGAAGGGAGAGCAGGCATTTGGGGGCCTTCATTCAGTTCAATGTGGCTGCCATGTTTGAGTGGGACACTGAAATCAAAGGGTGTATTTTTAAGAGACGAGACTGAAAATACATGGAGACCACATCAGAAAGTGCTGTAAAAGCTGTGGTAAGGCTTTATTCCAAAGGCAACAGAAAGCTATTGAAATCAAGATTTAAAATGGCGAAATCCATTCCTCTAACCCACATTTAACACATATTTATCAGGTACCTCTTCCCTTCCAAGTGCTGTGCTTGAGGCTGGACCTATGCCAGCGGGCGAGTTAGGCACAGAGTACACTGCACATGAACAGGGAAGAAAGACAAATGAGCCACCGCCTTGCAGTGAGAGCCATGTCGCAACTGGGCGAGCAGAGGGTGCTGGGGGGTGCCTAGATGGGGCCCTCAGCCTAGTCCCCCCTTCACCTAGAATTGGGGAGGGGGTCTAGGAAGGTTTCCTGAGGGATATTTTAGCTATCTGAAGGATGCGTAGGAGCTAGCCAGGCAAAAAGGAGCAGGAGAACGTTCCAGGCAGAGGAAGAAGCATGAATAAAGCTCCAAAACAAGAGAGAATATTGATTTGGGCCATTCAAAGAATGTTAGCGCGCCTACGCTGGGCACAGTGGCCCATGCCTGTAATCCCAGCACTTTGGGAGGCCAAGATGGGTGGATCATTTGAGGTCAGGAGTTCGAGATCAGCCTGACCAACATGGTAAAATCCCATCTCTACTAAAAATACAAAAATTAGCTGGGTGTGGTGGCATGTGCCTGTAATCCCAGCTACTTGGGAGGCTGAGGCAGGAGAATCACTGGAACTGGGGAGGCAGAGGCTGCAGTGAGCTGATACCTCACCACTGCATTCAAGTCTGGGTTACAGCCAGACACCATTCCCCACTACTCCCAAAAAAGGAAGCAAAGCTTAGATTCACATGTTAAAAACAGCACTCCAGTTTTTTTTTTAGCATGGGTGACATTTATTCAATAAACATTTGTGGAGTGTCCGTTCAGAGTCCTGGGCTCCAGAGTTAAGGGCTTGTTGGAGGGGGCAGATGTAAGCTAATGACAATGGTGAAATGTGACAAGTGTTGGAAGCCTGAGTCAAGCTGCAGAGACTGACTTGGACAAGGGGAGTCAAGGAAGCCTCCCAGAGGAGTGACTTTTCAGCTAAGCCATATGAAGCCTAGGAGTTTAGACATAACAGCAGGTGGATGGAAGATGTCGCATGTGAAAAAGCGTGACCTGAGCCGGGCACGCTGGCTCACGCCTGTAGTCCCAGCTATGCGGGTGGCGGAGGCACGAGCGTCGCTTGAACGTGGGAGGTGGAGGTTGCAGTGAGCCGAGATCCCACCACTGCACTCCAGCCTGGGCGACAGAGCGAGACTCCATCTTGAAAAAAAAAAAGGAGAAAAAAAAGAAAAAGTGTGACCTGTTGGGCAATGGAGACAATTTCAAAATGACTTTAGTTTCAGTTACGCGGGAGACGTGACTAAACAGGAGATGTGAGAGAGAGGTCAGGAAACATACTGCACTGGTACATTGATACTTGGAATTTGGACTTGTGCCTGTAATTTGACGGGAATAACAGGCCCCTTTGAAAATGCAAAGGCCTCAGCAGAAAAAGTTTGGGAGGCCAAGGCAAAAGGATTGCTTGAGGCCAGGAGTTTAAGACCAGCCTGGGCAACATAGCAAGACTGCATCGCTACAAAAAACATTTTTTTTTAATAGCCAGGCATGGTGACACATGCTTGTAATAATCCTAGTTACTTAGGAGACTCAGGTAGGAGGATTGCTTGAGTCCAGTGAGTTACTTTCGCACCACTGCACTCCAGCCTGGGTGACAGATTGAGACCCCATCTCTACAAAAAAAAGAAAGAAAAAGTAAAAGGGCCAGGCGCGGTGGCGCATGCCTGTAATTCCAGCACTTTGGGAGGCCAAGGTGGGCTGATCCATTGAGGTCAGCAGTTCCAGACCAGCCTGGCCAATATGGTGAAACCCCTATCTCTACTAAAAAATACAAAACTTAGTAGGGCATGTTGGTGCATGCCTGTAATCCCAGGTACTCGGGAGGCTGAGGCATGAGAATCGCTTGAACCCAGGAGGCAGAGGTTGCAATGAGCCAAGATTGCGCCACTGCAACCCAGCCTGGGTGAGCAGTGAGCTGGGTGAGCAGTGAGCCAAGATTGCGCCACTGCAACCTGTGCTTCCAGCCTGGGTGAGCAGTGAGCCAAGATTGCGCCACTGCAACCCAGCCTAGGTGACAGAGCAAGTGAGACTCCA